GACCAGCACTGACGCCAGCCTCGACGCCAGCATCGACGGCATCATCGACGCCATCGCCCAAACCTACACCGACGCCAGCATCGGCCACAACGCTGGCCTCTGCACTGGCGCCAGCATCGACAATAACACCGAAGACAGCATCAAACCCGGCACTGCCGCTCGCATCGACATCCGCACCAGCGCCAGCATCGACCGTAGCATCGACGCCAGCGCAGACGCCAGCATCCACCCCAGAGACTATCGAGAACCCACACCAGCAGCAAACCAGCGACCAGCTCCGCATCGTCAACACCGCAGTACCCGAACCAGCCCTCACGACGGCACTGAAGCCAGCTTCGCCACGAGCACCGAGCACGGCAACCCCAAACACACAGGCCTGCATCAGCCCCCACGACAGCACCGGAGCCGGCCCTCCGACGCGCCCAGCGACGGACACTGCGACTGCGGCGGGTGCGCTTCGCCGACCAGCCGCGCGACTTCATGCCCGACTTTCGAGCCGACGCCATATCTGATGCCCCCCCGACTCCCCCTCCGACGCCCCATCCCGCAGCGAACCATCCACCGCCCTGCCAAAACACCCACTTGCGCCAGCATCGGCACCAGCACCGAAGACAGCATCGACTCCAGCATGGGAGCCTGCATCGCCGTCCGCACCGACGCCAGTATCGACCCCAGCAGCGGTCCCAGCACCCATGCCGGATGACCAACCACGAGATGAAGAGCAGGGCCGAGGAGGTGACGGGGGCGATAGAGGAGGAGCACCAGTGCCACCAACACAAGGGGCCGCGCCAGCATCGACGCCAGTACAGGAGCATGCATCGACATCTGCACCGACGCAGGCATCGACTCCAGCAGCAATGCCAGCACCGACGTCACCATCGACGCGGGCATCGACGCGAATATTGGCACCAGCACTCACGACAGCAGCGACGTTAACATCGACGCCATCATCGGTACCAGCACCTCAGACAACAGCGACACCAGTGTTGCAGTCAACATCGACGCCGGCACTGACACCAGTAACGACCATTTCGGCCACCACGTTATCGGCCACGCTGCCGGGACACGATACTATGCACCACAAGGCTTCGAAGTTTCTGGCGGTACCGACGCGAGTACTTAGCCCAGCATCGGCGACAACACCAACGACGCAATCAACACCAGCAGCAAAGCCAGCATCGAAGGCAGCACTGACTCCAGCACCGAAGCCAATATCGACGTCATCACCAACACCAGTATCTGCTCCAGCTCCGACGCCAGCACCAACGCCAGCACCGACCCCCGCATCGACGCTAGCATCACAGACATCACTGACTCCACCACTGAGGACGCCAGTACAGGAGCCTGCATCGACCTCCGCACCGACGCCAGCGTCGACTCCAGCAGCGATGCCAGCACCGACGTCATCATCGACGCTGGCATCGACGCGAGCATTGGCACCAACACTCACGCCAGCATCGACGCTAACATCGACACCATCATCAGCACCAGCACCGAAACTAACAATGACCACAGTATTGCAGCAAACATCGACGCCAGCACTGACACCAGTAACGACCATTTCGGCCACCACGCTATCGGCCACGCGGCTGGGACACGATAGCTTTCACCACAAGGTTTCGAAGTATAAGGCTGCACCGACGCGAGTATTTACCCCAGCATCGGACGCCACAATCAACCCCAGCAGCAAGGCCAGCATCGAAGGTAGCACCGACTCCAGTACCGAAGCCAGCATCGACGCAATCATCAATCCCAGCATCTACTTCAGCTCCGACCCCAGCACCAACGCCAGCACCGACCCCCGCATGGACGCTAGCAGCAAAGACAGCCCCACCAACCACCCCAGCATCGAGGCCAGCACCGACGCCAGTCGCGACACCAGCATCGACGGCATTACCAACGTCATCGATCAGAGGCCTGTCAGCGCCTGGTGTTGATTTTTACGTCCGTCCAGTCTGTTCTGCATCGAACCCAGCCAGCATCGACGCCAGCACCGACGCCCGCATCAATGCCAACAACAACGATCGCACCAAGGAGACTATCGACACCAGCGTCGGAGTCCGCATCCAGGCCATCATCACCACCTTCGCCGACCCAGCACCAGAACTCCCCACTGCGACAACACCGAAGTCAGCATCGACACCAGCACAGAGTGCAGCACCGGCTCCTGGCACAGGAGCCTGCACCGATGCTCGCACCTACGCCACCGCCAGCACCCGAGCCAGCATCTACACCATCACCAACGGGCTAGCATCCACGCCGTCACCAGCATCGACTCCAGCATCGCCTCCAGTATCGACGCCAGCATCGACGCCAGCATCGACCCCTGCATCATACACCAGCATCGACTCCAGTATCGACGCCAGCATCGACGCCAGCATCGACCCCTGCATCATACACCAGCATCGACTCCAGTATCGACGCCAGCATCGACGCCAGCATCGACCCCTGCATCATACACCAGCATCGACTCCAGTATCGACGCCAGCATCGACGCCAGCATCGACCCCTGCATCATACACCAGCATCGACTCCAGTATCGACGCCAGCATGGCTTCCGAGCCTGGCACGACTGCCCGCTCCCGACGCTCCACGCCGACAGACGAGCAGCAGCGCCGAAGAAGGGGGGGCAGCGGGACCACGACGGGGCCCCGCCCTGCCCCCCACCCGACGCCCCACCCAGCGACCAGAAGCAGCACCGCGTGTCCCGCGACTCCGACCGGCAGCAGTGCCACGACTACAGCCAGCAGCACTGCCACCAAGGCGGGGACCAGCAGTCCACGCGGTGAATGGCCAGGGCCTCACAAGCAACCAACGCTGGCACACTTTCCACTCGCCCTCGTCCTTGGGCCGCGCGGCCCACGACGCCCCGAGGCAAGGGCGAGGCCGTCCACACAGTGGCGAGCCCCGAGGCGTCACGGGGGCTGCGCGGCATGCCCGGCAGCACCCTCCCGCCCACCCCGACTCGGTACGCCAGCACCGGCCCCAACCCCGCCCCACGCCCCACTGCACCAGCGGACAGCGACAGCCACCGCACAACCGCCCCCGTCCGCATGCGCAGCGACCCGGGTCGGTACGTAAAGACGCTGGGCCACCAGCTCGCCTTCGACATGAGGTCCGCCTCGGGGGTGGGCGCGGCCGTCCTCTCTCTACAGGGGGAGAGGGCGGCAGTCCCCGAGGGGGTGAGCTGGGCCCGCGGCAGCCTCGGCAACGGGTCAAACCCCCGTGCTCGAAGGGGCCAACCTTCCCCCCCTCTGTTCCCCCTCCCCCCTCTGTCCCGCCCCTCTCTTCCTCCTCCCCACGCTTTCCCCGGGGAGGCTTCGCCTTTCCGTGCTTAGGGGGCCCCCTTTCCTCCCCCCTCCCGCCTCCTTGCCTCGCGCGTCGGTCCTCGGCTCGTCCGTTCGTGGCCCCTTTCGCCCTCCTCTTTTGGGACCCCCGTCCGTCTCCCCCCCATTGTCCCTCGCCGGCCCCGCCAACGGCCGAGCGTGCCGTTTTCCATCACGCCCCCCCCCCCATCGCACGCCAAACGGTGGGGCGGGGGGGGGGCGTCGGCAGCGTCCGGAGGCCTCTCTTGCCGTCAGGTGCTTCAGCGCTTCAGATGGTGGAGGAGGAGGAGGAGGAGGAAGCGGAGGAGGAGGAGGCATGGAGGAGGAGGAGGAGGAGGAGGAGGAGACGGAGGAGGAGGAGGAGGAGGAGGGAGGAGGGAGGAGGAATGGAGAAGGTGGAGGAGGTGGTGGAGGAGGCCGCCCGCCGCGCGGCCAGGGCCGCAGAGCGCGAGGAGGGGGCGAGGCCGCGGAGACCAGCGGAGATCCCTGCGGCAGGCCCGTGTCGGGTCGGCCCGTGTCGGGGCAACTCCTGCGCCTTGCCGGCGCAAGGGGGCCCCGATGCAGGCGAGCACTCGCTGCACCACGCCGCCCCGGGCACCGCTGCGGAGCGCGCTGCGTCGCCCGAGGCTGTGCCCCCCGAGGAGGCTCGACCTGCGACGCCGGCGCCCGAGACTGGGCAGAGGGGGCCGCGCGGTCCGAGGGGAGCCCGTGCCTCCGAGGCCGCCGTGGCCGCGCCCCGCCATCGCCCGCCCAGCTCGGAGCTCGGCGGCGCGGGCGGCGGGCGCGGGCTCCAGCCCGGGAGGCACGGGAGGAGGGACGGGGCTGCGCGGAGGGGACGGGGTGCAGTGCCACGAGCAGAAGACCTCCCCTCCCCTCCCCTCCCCCATCCTCGCCCTGCTCCCTCCTCCCCCGTCCTCTCAGGGAGCAAGCAACAACATCAGCAGAAAACCTCGGAGGTCCGCGCGGAGTGCCCCGGATCGGCGCCTGGGCCCCCTAGCGGCGCCTCTGGCGCCGCCCCTGGCGCGCCCCGCACGCCAGGGAGGGGGGGTCCGGCGCCGATCTGAGGAGTCCGCGCGGATCTCCAAGTTCGTGCGCTTATGTCATTGTGTGCTCCCCGAAAGGAGAGGAGGGGGGAGTGGACGGGAAAGGAGGGTGCAGGGCAAGGAGGAGACGGGAGGGGAAGGCAGGGGGCAAGGGGGAGGGGAAGAGTACGTGGCGACCCCGGCGCCGGTTTCTGACACCGCGTGGATCGTCCACGCTTGAAGTGTCGGTGGCTTTCGGATCGGCAGATCCTTCTATATTGGCCGACTCTGGGCCGATGGCGGCCTTCAGCCTTGAACGCCCGCGTCGGGGTCGCCGCCGCGTCGACACGACGCGAGTATGCCCGAGGAGGAAGAGGGGGAGGAGGAGGAGGAGGAGGAGGAGGAGGAGGAGGAGGAGGAGGAGGAGGAGGGGGAGGACGAGGAGGAGGAGGAGGAGAAGGAGAAGGAGAAAGAGGAGGAGGAGCAGGAGCAGGAGCTCCCGCCGGGTGGTGGCAATTGGCGGCGCGCACAAGGGGGGGGGGCGTGCATGTGGGGGAGGCTTAGCAGAAGCCGGGAGGGCTCCAGAGAGGCCGCCGGCGCAGCCCGCGAGAGAGAGCGGCTCGCCGCCCCGCCCCCGCCCCCCGTTCCCCTCCGTGAGATCCACGGTGTAGCTGAAAGTCTTGCCCAGGAGGTTCATGGCGACGTACCTCTCTCCCTGGCGTTCCGCCTGTCCCTGGCGTTCTCTCTCCCTGGCGTTCCCCGCCCCCGTCCCTGCCCCACACCTCCCTCCCGCCCCCCGTAGAGGCCTCACAGATGGGGTCCGAACGGACGGGGTCAGAGGATCGCGCGACGCATCGCCGACGTCGGCAATGCCTCGGCGCAGTTGGCGTGGAGAAAATCGGGCTCCTCATCGAGCCTCATCGCCGATGCATCGGCGATGCGGCGCGGTCATCCGACCTCGTCTGCTCGAACCCTCACTGGGAGGACTGGATTCCTCCTACCTCAACTCTCTAACCTCCTCCACTCCTCCTCCTTGTAAGGAACTCCTCCCTGTCACACCCCGAGGCGCGTCGGTAGGGCGGGCCGGGCGTTTCGACTGAGAATTCCTCACCATCTATGATCCTGAAGCTTGAAATCTGCGACAGACTTGCAAACGCAGGGCGGGCGGTTTTCATCATGTGGCTCTCGTCTTCGCGCCGCGCACATTCGTCTCAAGCGGGCCGTTTTCAAAATGTGGCTCTCGCCTTAGCCCCGCGCGCATTCGTCTTAGAGACTTGCCAGAGCTTCACGGATGGAGGGCGGGCCGATTTCAAAGTGTGGCTCTCGCATTAGCGCCCCGCACACCCGCCTCAAAAGCTTCCAAGAGTTTGACGGATGGAGAGCTGGCCGTCTTCAAAATGTGGCTCGCGCCTTAGCGCCGCGTACATCCGTTTAAGAATTCTTCACAACTGTTTCAAGGATTCCCATGATTAACGTCCCAGAAGTGGCGTTTTTGCATAATGTCGGACTGTCAGGGCGCAACAGGTACGTTGATTCGCGGTGTTGAATTCGCAACAATAACGATGATTCGCGGCGTTGAGGTTCCATGAATAGTGTCCCGGCACAGGTCAGGATTTTCAAACGGTTTCTTTCAACGGGGCACTTCCCTTAGGGGGGGCCTATGAGAGGGAACTTGGTGGGAGGGTCTATTGCAATCTTGTTGATTGGTCTTGGATTTACACTGAGGTTCCTTGCAATATCGTTGATGAGTCTCGGGCTTATGTACACTGTCTATCCTCCTCCTCCTCCGCCTCCTCCTCCCCCTGGCCCTACTCCTCCACCTCCGCCTCCTCCTCGTCCTCCTCCTCGTGCTCCTCCTCGTCCTCATCCATCCATCCATCCTGCGCCTCCGCCTCCGCCCCCGCCTCCACCACCGCCTCCGCCTCCTTCTCCTCCTCCTCCTCCTTCTCCTCCTCCTCCTCCTCTTCCTCCTCCTCCTCCTCATCCTCCCCCTCCTCCTCCTTATCATACTCCTCCCCCCTCCGCCTCCGCTTCCGCCTTTACCTCCACATCCTCCTCCATTCGTTCTCCTTATGTAAAACTCTTCCCTGTCGCACCCCGAGGTCGGTCGAAAGGGCGGGCCCGGCGTTTCGCCTGAAACGTCCTCACCACTTGTGATCCTGAAGATTTGAACATGCACACATATCACTGATGGAAAGGGGGTCGTGTTCAACATGTGGCTCTCGCCTTAGAGCCGCGCACGTTCGGCTTAGAAGTGTGCAAGAGTTTCATGGATGGACCGTAGCGCCGTGCACATTCGTCTCAAAAGTTAGCAAGACCTTCACGTATGGAGGGCGGGTCGTTTTCAAAATGTGGATCTTGCCTTGACACCGCGCACGTTCGTCCTAAAAGCTTCCCAGATGTTCACTGATGTAGGCTGGTATCTTTTTCCAAAATGTGGCTTTCGCCTTAGCGCCGAGAACATTCGTCTTCGGAGGTTGCACGGGTTTCAAAGATTCTCATGTATAGCGTGCCAGAAACGGACGGTGTTGTTGCACGATGTCGGAAAGTCAAGGCGCAACAGGCACGTTCATCCGCGGTAGTGGAGCCCAGAAATGAATTATGGCACGGTTCAGGATCGTCAAGACGCAACAATGACGGTGATTCGCGGCGTCGATGTCCCAGGAAAGGTGTTATGCACAATTGTAGATGTTCAGACGATTGACTTCCAGCGGGGCACATCCCTCATTGAAAATAAATCCGTGTCAAGGCCTACGGAGAGGGAACTTGAGGGAGACACTGGTCCTCCTTCTCCTCCTCCTCCTCCTCCTCCTCCTCCTCCTCCCCCTCCTCCTCCTCCTCCTCCTCCTCCTCCTCCTCATCCTGCACCTCCTCCTCCTCCTCCTCCTCCTCCTCCTCCTCCTCACTCCTCCTCCTTCCTCGTCCAGTTATCCTCCGCCGCCTCATCTCCTCCCCCTCCTCTGCCCTCCGCCTCCTCCTGCTCCTCCTCTCCTCTTCCTCCCATCTTCCTCCTGCACCTCCTCCTCCTCCTCCTCCTCCTCCTCCTCCTCTCCTCTCCTCCTCCTCCTCCTCAATCCGCCTCCGCCTCCGCCGCCCGCCTTCCGGCCTCCGCCCCTCCGCCTCCGCTTCCTCATCCTTTTCTCCTCCTTCCGCCGCCTCCTCCCTCCCTCACCGACATGCATCCATCCCGCCTTTCCCTGTCCCGTCCCTTCCCTTCCCTGTCCTCCCCCCTCGCTCCCGCCGGCCCAACCCGCCCCCCATTCCCGCTCATCCCTCCCGTCCTTGCCCTCCAGCCATCCATCAGCCATGCATCCATCCATCCATCCATCCATCCTCCCTCTCCTCCTCCCTCCTCCCTCCTCCCCACTCCATCCTCCCTCCTCCCTGCTCCCGCCTCCCTCTTCTGTCCTCTCTCCTCTCTCCTCTCTTCTCTCTCCTCTCTCCTCTCTCCTCGACTGAACATGGCCCGAGCTTGGCACCATGTACGGAGATTAAGGTACATGGATCATATGGATCCACGAACCAGCCGGTCTTTTCACCCACGTGTTCCACGCCTCGCAGCGGGCGCATCCCCACGACCAGGCACAATGTGGGAGCCGTCGCTTCTGTCAAGCAGGACCTTGACTATGTTGCCAACACTTGGAGCCTCAAGGCAAAGCCGAATGCACGAAATGGTAACCAGGGCCCCTCTGCAACTATCTCTGCGGAGGTGACCACACCCAACAGAGGAAAGCCAAAGCTGGCATCTCGGCTGACCCACCCCCCTGCGCAGGTGGTGCAATCAAGAAGAAGAAACCCAGGAGCACGCCGTATGGAGATGATGTTGCTGGGATAACCAGAGTACGGCCTTCAAATCATGATTACAGAGCAACGCCGACGGACTCGCCACTGCGGGGGCTAGGCTACACAGCATCCCACAGGATGTCGCCAACGCTACTAGATGGCGCCACAAGTTCGCCGCGGCCATACACACCACGGCCGTCACTATCTACGAGCAACGGCGCTGCACGTTCCCTCCTCGCCGCAAACGTGTGGGAGATTCCAGGCCCGAGCCCTCCAAAACGGAAATAAACCTGCTCACCGCCAGCCTCGGAGGACACGGCACTGGCACACAAGAAGGATAACCTCCCGCGGCGGAACCACCAGGCGATGTCTTTGATAAATCGCCGACCCCTGGCTCCAGCACCCAAAAGATCTCGCCGTTGACGACCTTGACCCCCTTGGTTCTGGGGCCTCCCTCGACGGCGAAGACAACCGCGTTCGCCCACCACGGAGACGGAACTCCGAAAACGTCCACGGCGAAAGTGGTACCGTCCCGCCCGGCCTGGGAGAGGACCTGCGCATGGCAGGTGAGGGGTCGCGCACTGCGCCCCACGGGCCGGCACCGCCGCCCCAGCCCGCTGGGCCGGCCAGTGCTGCTGCGCACCCACCCTCCCAACGCAGCGTTTCCTGCCACCAGGCACCCCCCCCGCCCCACCAGGGAACGGGGACCGAGGGCCATCATACCCCCACAGGGGTGCTGGCAACCGAACGACCGCAGAGCACCGCAGTGATCCGAGGAACGCCCTCACTCAGCACCTCACTGCGACCAGTCACCAGCGACTAGAGGACCGCGAGACGACTCTTGCTGCCAGCATTTAAACACGTAAGCACCGCGACAACCAGCTGGTGATTTCCACTCACCAGATACAGGAACAGACAGCACCGATGATCGACAGGCTTCATCGTACACAAAAGGGATGGGGCTTACACAACGGACGTTCAGTCCTGACGCGACCAGAAGGACCACCCTCCAAGGTTACCTCTGGGCACTCTTCGACTCACCAAGGGTGGCACTCGCAGGGCGCCGAGGCGCGCGTGCCAACCCGCGCGCAAAGCTGGCGCCTCCCTGCGTATGGTGGCGCAAACCAGCCCCCGTGGGGCCTGATCACCGCCGACCTTCTCCTTCTGCCCAGCCGGGGACCCATTTGTCCGCGCCAGGAGGAGGAGGAGGAGGAGGAGGAGGAGGAGGAGGAGGAGGAGCTGCTTAGTAAGCGGCCCCGTCCGCTTTCTGAGATGGGCACACGGAGCACGCGTGGCTCAAGGGCCCGGGCGGTGACGCTGTCCGAAGTGGTGCGCTCTCCTCCCTCCTCGTTCCTCCACAGTGGGATCCCGTGGGCGCGAGGCCCTGCGGGAAGCATGCGAGCTCATGGCGCCGAATTCGCGCGGTGCCGCAGGCTCGCCCAAGACTGCCTCCCGAGTTTGTGTGGTGTCCTGCCCACGCGTCCCTGGGGGACACCGTGGTCAGAGGGACCCTGGATGGCCCCCCGTGTGTGCTTTCCCTCGGAAGCTCCCGGGCGAAAATTTGTCGCGAAACGGGGAGCCGCTGCAGAGTGTGCTGGCCAGGGCACTGCTGATCTGTTTCGGATGGCGCTCTCTCTGAGGCGCAGGAGCTCAGCGTGCACCAAGCCTGGACAGGGCGCCGATTTATCGATCTCGGTCTCTTCGCGTCGGAGTCGGAGGTCGGTCGTCGTCCGGGTCCTGCCCCCGGCGCCCTGCCCAACACCCCCTCTCCCCTTTGCATCGGAGGCGAGACCAGGCACCGGCTATTTTTCAGCCCGTCCCGTGGTGAGTGGAGGTGCGGGCAGGTCAACACGGTCACAAAGTCCCGCGCTGGCTTGCACAGCCTTCAGGAGGTGAAGAAGCACCGTGATTGCAGTCCCTCGGACATCCAGCGTTGGGCTGCTCAGAGGCTGTTCAGTACATGCCCCGATGTTGTGCCCCAGGCGTCCGAGGGAGCGGAGGCGGCCCTCTCGGCCGCCTCGAGGCTGCTCGATGGCCCCCCGCCCTCTGGCCCTGCCCTGGTCCCTGGCCTGTCGGGGGGGGGGCTGGCGCGGAGAGATCTGGGAAGCGGGATCCCTGCGCCGACGTGGGTGTGGGTCGGTCGGTGGGGGGGGGGGGCCTGCCCCCTCGGCGGTGGCGGGCCCGAGCTCTGGGGAGCGTGGCCGTGCCGATTGGGACCTGTTCCACCACCTCGGCCATCGGATGGCCGAGGTGGGGGCGTGCGCCTTCTGCGAGCGGTGTGCCTGTGTGG